GAGCGCGAAAAGAGACCATGATTTCGCGAAGTCTCGAGAAGCACAGAATTGTACTTTATGTGGACCCCGCACCAGTAATAGTGACTACAACGGACAATGGTACTCAACATGGGGTCATCTTTTAATGCTCCGAGTATACCACTGGTACAAGGTACGGGGTCCACCTCAATTATATAGTGCAAGGTTCTATTCAGGGAGTTGTGTATGGGGCGAGGCGAACCTTGCCAGTTTCCTTGAATTGGTAGAACACAGGGCGGCACATTTGCAATGCCCCACGAAGGATTTGGAACTTGCGGGGGTTCCCATGCAAAGTGCAGGCATGGCCTGAATAATACTTTTGGGGTCGGATTGAAGGGGAGAGAGATAAGGCACTCTGGTTTGGGACCTTGGGGCCTGAGTAGGTATCATGTTCCAGGAGTAAGTTCTCTTACACTTTAGTAGTAAATGGCCGGCCCCTGCAAGGTAGCGAATTTTCACGGTTTTGCACCTGAGGAGCTTCACAGATTTCGGGAAGGCCTTTGGCAATTTTCAAACTCCCCCACACTAGCGCAGAACCCTGCAAGTGGCCGCAACGTTAAGATCACTGCTCTGGAAAGAAGAGCCTGTTTGGGTTCCTTGTCGGCTTTCGGGGAGGGCCGGACGAGTCCTGCCGGCGACTTGGGCACCAGGCTAGGCTTTTAAGCTAGGTTGGGAGAGGGACAAGATTTCGCCTCTTTCGGACAGTTAAACCCTAAACCTAAGGGTCCAAGCACCTAATAATCATATACTTACCCAAAACGTGTACTATAATTCCTATTACCCAAAAAGCCCAAGTACCTAATTATTGGGTACTTGGACCGTTTGGGAACCCTAAACCCTAACATGTAGGTGAGGGGCGCAAGGTCCAAAACTTCTGAGGAATCCTCCCTTCTATCTGGCTTCCGTGGACTACGGCTCTGGGATCTTGAGCAAACCTCAAGATTACTACCCTCCATGTAATAGTACAACCCGGTAAGCGTTTTGATAGTTACATGAGCTACAGTCTAAACTCCTTAAAGGGATATGTAAGGGACTATGTGGGGAAGTATCATAGGGGTTATTAAGGGGGATACTAGGCGTTTAGACTATAGTTCATACAGGGTTATTTGCGGATTGTATAGTGCTGCAATAGCAATTGTTGTTGGAGGCTTTGGGTAGATAACACACATGTCCCTAAGCCCCAAGCCCAGCTTTGTCATGAAGCTGCTCGTGCATTGCATGTTCAGCGGCATACGGGGTTTTCAGAGTTTTGGCAACTGCCGCATCTTCTCTGGGATCACCGAGAATACTCGGGGCCGTAGTATACTAAAGACCCCCAAAAGGACTGTTATTTCGTCAGCGTACCATATGCAACAGCATGAAGACCCGCAGCCTGAGTCCGTGTGCTTGTACTTGCTCCTGGCAGCCATATGTCTTGCGTTATAAAAGCTCTCTGCAACTTCTTGGACCGCACAATACTACGTTGTGTGAGAGGCCCTTCATGTGGATGTCCCTATAGTTTATTGGCGTACACGGTTGTGTTTGGGAATTTTTCGAAAACCGCAAAGCATTAACTTGAAAAGTACCCGCTCTCTGCGCAGCATGTTTTCGAAGCCATGGGCGGGCCAACAACAAAGGAAGCTGAGGCCTGTCTCGCACCCTGTTTGCTTTGCTTTGTTCTTGCGCATGATTTCTAATGCAACTCCTTCCCTGATTCCTTCCAAGTCATTGTCATAGTTTTTAGTTTTCTTAAGGGTCTCATACAATTCCTTGCATGAACAACTCTTTTGAGAGATCGGTGTTTGGGGGGGGGGGGGGGGGGNNTTCACTGATCCGGGACCATGTAGGAACATGCGGTCCTGCGTCAACAGTTTTCCGAACACGGCAGGGTTACGCTCAAATCTTTTGCAGAAGGGTCATCCCTGCAGCCTGTGAAATTAAGAGCCACATTCATGCTTCAGCACCACCTTGGGGTTGAATTTGTATAGTTTTAGAATTCAGGGTGTAGAGGGCGTGTGGCATCATCTGCACTAGTGAAGTGCAGGCATTGCGCAGCCAGATTGAACAAGAGTTGGATCTACCTTCATCTGGCGACCTTTCTTTTGATGATGAAGACATTGAAACCACAATGAGCTTGGACGTCTTTCTGACCCCAAGAACTCACACAGACCTGGGAGTCAAAACCACCACTGGTCCTCGTTCCTCGTGTTAAGCTGGGTTGTGGTTAAGGAATGTCACTTTAATTGGAACTACTGTAATACGGAAACCTCATTATTCACTATATACATTTCCTGAGCAGCAACCCAGTTAGAAATGCCCCATGAGTCTCTCCATCCGGCACACTCTAAGCCTCAGACCCAACAATGCGGTTTAGGGTTTAGGGTTTCTTCAGACATACCCAGAAGACCCTGAACGCCTTAGAACCCCTAACTGCCCACGACCCCCAAACCCTGGGACTTCCTCTGTCTGACAGCCTGGCCCAAGAGAGCACAGGGCCCGCCGTGGTTGTGATGATGGTTGTTATTCTGAGAGGATCCGAGAGGTTTATAGGGTCTATCTGGTTTATAGGGCCTATGGGCCCTAAACCCTGAACCTTAAAACCCTAAACCCTAAACCCCCAAACCCTGGATGTATCAGCCTGATGAAGTCTGTATCTGATGGTATCCGATTGTTTCTTTGATCTCACCAGGCCTAGCCTCTAGTGTTTAGTGGTTTAGGATTTGGGGATTATGGAAACCTTCGCAAGACGGCCTTTTCCAGCTCAAATTATGCACGTTTCTATGATGGTTCTTGGGATTGCTGCTGCTATGACTATTGTTATTATTCTTATGAAAGCCTTTACTTCCCCTTGGCTAGCTCTCACCCAAAACGAGGATTATGGAGTGTCAGACCGCTGTTGAAGTCTAAACCTAGTCCGTGCACTTACATCTTGATTACTCCTCCGATTCTCCTGTCTGGCGTTGTGTTGGTGGGGGGCGCTCCGTGCAACATGAAGCTCGGCCAGCACTCTTGTCCCTAAACCCCAAACCCTAAACCCCCTTCCTTAAACTTTAAACCCCAAACCCCCAACCCTAAACCCCAAACCCCAAACCACCAAACCCCCAAACCTAAACCCGAAACCTTAAACCTTGAACCCCAAACCCTAAACCCCACACGCTAAGGATCCTACGGGGGCTTTTCTAGGGTTTAGGGTTTAGGGTTTAGGGTCAGGGCTGTTGCATCTAATCGTTTGATATCTCTGCCTTGTTTAGGGTTTATAGGGTTTAAGCAACTTCTAGCTATTATGTTACTGTTTTTTTTTGGTTTTTTGGAATTTTCCCAAAGCTAATAGTTGACTGAACAGGCCCAAGGAAACTTGCCAAGTCACATGTCTTTTAGCCTATCCTAACTTTCAAGCCTAAAGGATTACCAATATTATGGTCCCAGCTGCCTTGCACAATTAGTTTGGTATAGGGTATCTCAAGCAACCTTTAAGATGTTATTGGTATGATTTAGGCCCCAATACCGCGCAATCCCAAAAGCCCTCTATACAAGCACAACCCTCATGTGAGTTTGCATGTTCTAGTCCCCGTGCTTCTCCTTTTTTGGTGTGTATATATATACATATCCGTAAACCCTTAACCCTCAACCCTCCAATATTGGTAACCTCTAAGGCTGCTAAACTGGAACTTGTCACAATTGCAGCACAATCTTCAACTAAAAGCTCTTATTATGTTTTTAACTGTTGTCGGCGAAGCTAAAGCCAACCTGCGAAGCCCAAACGCCTAGCCCTTCAGAACCTTGTAAGCCCTAAACCCTATAGACCCTATATAATCCACTATAGTAGCTTTCATTTTGTCCATCATCCCTATGTAACCTCCAATACTGCTAAGCCCTTCATCCCATTTGATCCCCCAGCTCTTGGAAAATCTAGGAAGCGACCCGCAGAACACGCAGCGGTGGAGGAACCTGCCCAGAAGAAGCCTGCAGACGATCGTGCCTCGGATGTCCCAAAAACCCCTAAGCCCACGCTTGAGGATTTTCAGCTTTAAGGCTTCCCACAAAGCCACATATCCCCCAAGTATGGAATATATATATATATACCCTACATGATAATACTAGGGTCCCTAATACGGTTTAGGGCACATATTCCTTCATGAATGGATATTGGGCTTTCTGGGTTGAGGAGGGTTTGGAGGGTAATTATGATTCGGGGCTCGCCCTTGGGGTTTGATTGAGTTTAGTGCGTAGGGGTGTCAGGGTTCGGGACTTCCCCTGGACTGCACGGGGCAATCTTCGTGAAAGTGGTTTGGTTCTTGGGGCCTGATCTTGCTAGCCCTGAAACCTAAACCCTACGCCTTTAATTTGCTAGCGCCCTAAACCCTAAACAGCTAGCCGGCCTGTAGTTGGCCATGCCAAAGCTCTCATGGCCGAATTACATGGAATCTGAAAGGGTTGAGTTAGGGCTCTTCGTGTCGTTACCAAATTGCGACCCCATGCCTTCTTGGTGCTATTTGATACGGGCATGCCCTCAAAACGGGATCCACACTCTATACCCCGACAAGCTGGATCCCTTCTTGTAGAACCCCCATGGGGTACCCCTGAATTTTTCAAGCCCTCCAGATAGCTTGACTTTTTTCCTAAACCGTAATTACAATATGTGAGCTGCGTGCTGTGCCGCAGCTGAGGGGTTTAAGGTCCCTGCTTGGGGTTACCACAACATATAGTGTATCTTGTGATTGTTCAAGGAAGGTTTCCATTCTTAGAAACTTCCAAATCCCCTTCTAGTAGGACAGCAGTGTTCAGGGGGCCTCTTTGGGGGCACGCTGCACAGGGATTCAAGCAGCCGGTGCGCGCCCGGCATATTCTGAGATAGCAGCTTGGGGCGCGTAAAGCCACCGGTCATTTGCAAATTCGTGGCAGTTGGCTAGAGGCCAAAATCTGGGTCACCTTGTGTCCCAAAGTCACACAAAGGCGTTCTGAACAACAACCGAGGTGCGGATGACCAGCATGGCCTTGGAAAGCCTGAAGGTACCTACTATGTCCATGACAACGGTGGTCGCCCTTTCAAAGTGGAAGTGCGGTGGCCCTGTCCTAAGGCCGAGGTGAAAGTCTTCAAGGCTGGCATTTCCGACAATTGCGGTGCCGCTGGCTGTGTCCTCATATAGAGTAGTTTCTCCAAATAAGGAGACCCCAATATAGCTTGTTAGGAGGAATTAGGTCCCCCAAAATGGTACCCCCAATTTTGGGAAACTCCCATATAGAGTAGTCCAGGACATTGCTCAACCTTTGTGAACCTACGTTCATCCCAACCGACCGCTCCTTGTTCAGATGGCCCTGGATGGTCGCGAAGGAGACGCCGAGAACAATGAAGGCCTGCCAGCCTATGAGAAGCAGGCTTCTTTGATCCTTTCGGCGGAGAGGGTCTTCATCGGGCAATGCCCAAAACGTGGCGCCTCCTTCGATGGAAACTCCATGCTGCTGCACTTGGAGGGTATGAAGTATGTGTTTGTTGGAGTCCTGGTGTTCTCCTTTACATCAACATCACGCATCACGAAATATGCTTCTCTGGTTGGCAACAATGACGTCCCTTACCCTTGGGCAATCGATGAACAAGGCTGGCAAACTCTAACGACCTCACCCGAACTCATCTTAAATAATGGATCATATAGAAAACAGTCCCAACTTGGCTTAATTGTCAGGTTCAGAATTAGCATAGAATGGCCAGACAAGGCCGCCGATATTTGATGACTAGCTCAGTCATCTTGGACAGCGACTTACACAGTTTAGGGTTTAGCGTACGATTCCAGTTTTAGGGTAGTATAGGGAGCTTGTTAAGATTGTTATCTCTTTGTGGGACCGCATTAAAAAGTGCGACATCCCGTCTCTATGAACTAGTAAGGCAAGCTCTTTGAGGACATCGACACCGATCCTTACAACTGTTATTTTGATCGCCTGCTAATGACTGCACATCTTGGTACAGTGCCTCCCCAGCAACCGCTCTGCCAGTTCCAAAGCATCACCGAATTCTGGGTCGGTGAGAAGCAGTACACTCTCAAGCACCAGCCGCATCCTGAGATTGCCTTTGAGGAGTTGGCAAAAATTGGGGAGCTTTCCGTGGTGAAAGGTGAGGAGCTCTCGACATTGCTGTCCCCATCCTTCTACTACCCCCTTGCGTATTGATCTTGAGCCGCTTTTTTTGATCCACCTGCTTCTCGTACATAACTTCAAAAGCCCGGAAGTAACCCTCGCCATTTCCCTCAACTTGTTGGTGTTTAGTATGGTATGTTGGGGTACAACAGGATCGCTTTGTGGATTACTATGAGGGATTCTATATTCTGTGGAAGTTCAGCGATACTATCCTTAGAAGAATTCCTTATCTTACCAATTAAAGGCCCATAGTTGGAATCGACCCAAGACAGGTGGCTCCAGGACTAAGCTGTCCAAGGCCGAATTCGTCAAGTTGATGCAGGACTTGTTGAGGGATCCCGAGGGGGTTGCAAAGGTTTTTTTAATGAGCAATTCTGCAGGTCTTCGGGCCATTGTCTAAGGATTGTGTGAGAGGGGTGCGTGGTGCTTTTCAAAAGTAGATTCTATGCATTATGTCGAAGTCTTAGGTCCAGCTGTGCAAAAATTCCTCACTGGCATGCCTGCAGAAAGATGACACGGTTCGATAGTTACCTTGCAACCTTGGCAAACCCATGAGACAATGATCTCCGTGTGTGAACGGTGCACGTGCAAAACAGCACAGGACTATGCAAATGAGATGGGTCTCGAAACCCTCCGGAGTCTCACGTTGCTGGGGGAGACTTGAGAAACCTTTTTTCGCCGTGTTAACAACTAACCTTGCTGCCTTAGAGTTCCCTTCAGGGCTCAGGGTTTATGGTATGGTTTCGGGCAGGGATTTAGGGTAAGGGAGCCCTGCAAGAAAGCGAACATAGCGCCGCCATCCTGGGAACAAGCATTTTGACCAGCAACAGGATGATGCTGACATGTAGCCCCTGGAACCTAAACGCAAAACCCTAGATATTGAGTTTTCAAAGCCTGCTAATCTTGAACATGTTTGAACCCCAGCCGTATGATCCTGATATATAACCCTGAACCCTAAGCGCAAAACGTTAGGGATTGAGTTTTCAAGCGCCTGCACATCTGGACTAGGTTGATTGAGAGGCTGGAGTGATCTGGTGCGGCGCAATGAAAAAAAGCTGCACAGTTTAGGATTGGGGTATTAGGGTTGAAGGGTTTGTCGGTTGAGGGCATGGGGCTTAGGGTTCAATTTGTTTTGGGTGTAAGGGCTTAGCGTCAAATTGCGGGCCTTTGCCTTTGTGACGCAGTCAAGCTTACTTGGGCTTTCAGCCCATTAGCCTGATACGCCATTTTGGAGTTGTGTGGACCATGGCGGAGCCTGATTTTGTTGGGCTTCTCCCCCCACCCAAGAGCAGCCACAGACAGGGATTGTCATCGGAGTTACCGTTTGTGTTGGTAGCTGGTGGAGAGGAAGCCCAAATTACATAAAACAAAAAAGTAACCATCATGAGGTGCTTGGCTCTTTCTGAAACATGTTCTGCCCTCACATTCACTGGGAGGGAGGGATACAACTTTAGGGCGTAGGGTCCTTGTACACAAGACTTGGGAACTTGTGATTTTGGTACTAGCATTTTTTGCGGGTTCACGGAAGTGTATGATAATCAACCAAAATGTTGCAACCTTTGACTTTGTCTCACAGTTCTTTCAGTGGCTTACATTCCAATACTCGTAGTTGGCCTGGATCAGATTTGATGCTGTGGTTCCAGGACTGTATCAGTTTGGGCTCATCCCGAACCAGCCGATAGAAGGAGAGCCTCCCCCCCCTCCCCCCTCTGAGTAAAACTTTGACTAATGTGAAGGCAGCAGTTGCTTATTGTCCTCACAGCCCTTTGTCTAATGACTGGTAGTTTCTACGGAAGAGAGCAACGGATCCCCACACCCCCTTGCAATCTTCAAAGATGTGGTAGTTTCCGTTTTCTTTTCCATTCCCCTGGGGCTCTAACCCTATCAATAATACCTACATTGGGCCTTAAACCCTATAAATAGTACCTACATGGAGCCTTAGGGTTCCTACATTCTTTATAACAACCAGGAGGGAAGCGAGTTACATCCCTGAGCGCCTCAGAGCACCTGCACTGCAGGCAACACGCCTCTGGTGCGCCTGTGCTGCATTTCTCGCCTTCGGCGCTCGTGAGATTGCTGGTGCCTTTGAGGGTCCGTATGCTAATTATAGCAGCATGGACAAGAGGACCCTAAACTCTATAGCGATAATAGTCTAAACCCTTGAAGCCTTGAAATCAAGCACCTAAACCCCTAAAACCCCTGAAGCCACTAAAACCTTAAACCCCTAAAAACCACTAGAACCGCTAGACCAGAAACTCCAGCGTTGAAGTAGCTCCTGGGGGGCAATCGACTCCAGGCTTCTTTAATCACAGCCAAGACAGCCCTTCAATATAGGGTTTAGGGTATACAGTTTAGGGCTTAGGGTATAAAGTTTAGGGTGTAGGGTATAAGGTTTAGGGTATAAGGTTTAGGGTTGAGGGTATATAGGGTGTAGGGTTTAGGCTTCAATCACAGCCCAGAAAGCCCAATGTTTCTTAAGGAATATACCCTAAAACGTTTGGGTAGTTCCCAATATGAGGGTCCCGTGTAACGGTGCCGTAATATAATCTATAACCGGAATGGGCCCATAATTTTGAGAAGAACACATTTTATGGATCCCAGTATCATGCAGGGTATATTTCTTACCTTGGCATTGGGCTTTGTGGGAAACGGCTATGGACCCAACCCATGACGCCACGTGCTAGTTCTATGCTTGTAGGTACTGAGCGATGAAACCCGAGGCTCCGCACTGCATAGCGTTTGATGTTTGTTGCAGGCTGCTGTAACAGTTCAGCCCTTGCACAGTGTAACACGCAAGGTGTGAAATCTCAGTAGCCATTGTTTGGTTTGGCTTTCGGTAGAATGACATGCGAGGGAACGCAATCTGACACCACGCCCGAAGCCCCGTGCACCCCAACATTAACAGAATGCCAGATGCTCCACAGGTCAGTGGTTTCGAGCCCGATGACAGACGTCCCAGCCTCCGTCATTTTTCTTGACGTGGACGGCGTGCCTCGGCAGGCTGTTTAGGAAACTGTTGCAAAAAAGGAAGCTCAAGACAGTAGCCTTTTGAAGGGCCCTTGCAGCGTTAGCGTGAGTTTCTCAACCTAAGGGCTGCCTCTTCCCCATTCAAACCAGACAACTCTTAATCAACATAAGGTCGCGAAGGGACCCACAACTTTCAGAGCCCTTGGAGAGGTGCTGCACTCGGCTGATGGAGCGCTTCCCGGCGGCCAGGAAGCTTCTTGACTTCTGATACAAGTTTCTCACACGACAGGCTCCGGATTATCCGGATGAATCAAAGAGGACTCATGATTCCTGGATATCCCTTCGATGAGATCCGACTAAGATATGAGGAGATCATGCAAAGGATATAGGCCCCAGAGGCACCCGAAGATCCGCTGCCTTTCAAGCTAGAATGGAAACTGCCAATGTGCAACTAGGTGGTATCCTATTGCCACCAGTATAGACGATTATCAGCAGTTACAAGTAGAACTAGTGCACCTTGTCTCCAGTGATTCTGATATCCAATATTGTTTCTGATATCCAATATTGTTCCTGGCCCCCGCCGGCCTGTAACAGCGCAAAAATTGCGTCCTCGCCCGAGCCCATCTTTGCTGGCCCTCGCAGTACTCAGCGCGTTTTCCAAGGCTTGGAAGTCCGCGAAGTGCTGGTGCCGTCAGCATTTCTGAGTCTCAGGAAAATTAGATGTATGGACAGCGCCTTCGCACGGGAGGCTTTTACACCTTGCAACCTGCACAAAATACTGCCACGGCCACCGTTTCGGTGACCGAAGCATCCATGCGTGACCAGAGCATCCAGGCTCAAACCATAATTCCGTTCATTTTTGAATGAATGCGCCTACCTGAGCATCCATGCCCAGACCAAGATTCCGTTCGTGTTCCCAGAGCATACGGTCACCAGAGCATCCATGCCCAAGCCATAATTCCGTTCATCTTTGAATGAATGCGGTTGCCAGAGCATCCATGCCCAAACCATGATTCCGTACATGTTCCAGAGCATACGGTCACCAGAGCATCCATGCCCAATCTGCTGCCCTGGCTGGCGTTCGCATGCTGGAAAAGCCAGGCCTTATGCAGCGTCTGCAGTGCTTCCGAATGTACACCAGGGAGGCGCGTAAACATGAGCTTGCCTGCAGCCCGGCCGAGATCCTCAATCCGGTCAAAGACAGAGATTGGCTTTTTTGTTGCCGAGAACTCAGAAATTCCGTCTGCAACGCTTTCCAGGCGAAAACACGATTTCGGGAGGAAAGCCGGAAGTTCGGCACCCTCAAGAAAAAGGATCTTCTGTTGGGCTGGAGCCCTTGAAAGCACACGCTTGCCAGGGTTTTTAGCTTCCGCATACTTCAGCGCCTCTTGACGGCGCATTTACAGACCAACCGAGCGTTGTTTCTGCACAAATAACTATGGCAGCTCAAAAATGATCCATTGTCTCGTGATACATGCTGCTGCCCTTCACGCCCTTGCCCAGTAGCTACATCGCCCTCACATGCTGTCCGTTGCTCAGCGAAATAGTCAGTCACTCCCCCGTGATGTTGAATTTGTCCGTTACTTGTCCAAAGATGTCATGAGGGGGCAAATTCCCCGCTAGGGCCGAGTAAGGATCCCAAAGACTCAACGCTAAACCGCAAGCACCTGATGCGTATCCTTAACCCAAGCCTCAACCCTAAACCTGTGCTATAGCATATAGGGCGTTTTCTCGAATGGAAACCACTATAGTATACTGCGCGCTATATAGGGATGATGGAAGAGAAATTGGAAACCGCTACAGCCCCTGTGACCTGGTATTTGCCGTGCTGCCTTGGCATGAACATGTTGAAGGCCTGAACATTTCAACATCCTTTCAATATACTACAGTACTATATTGTAGTAGACCAGAACGGTAAGAACAGTAGTGATACTGATAATAGTAACATGCCAACATATACCTCTACACCCCAGGCCCGTAAAGAGTTCTATCCTTCAGCCCTTAAACCCTTAGCCGCAGGCCCCTACAGACTTTGATCCCTCAACCCGAGCCCTAATCCCAAGCCCCTACAGACCTGAATCCGTCATCCCAAACCCTTAAACCTTACCAGCTGTCCAGGCGCTGTTCCTGGCCCCTTGCCTTCAACGACTGCGCCGCATAGTGGACGCCACTGGCGCCAAGCGGCCTGGCTCCATTTTCCAAACCTCATGCAGGGTGTAGGGTTGGAGTTTGAGAGTTCGGAGGGGATGTTGGGATATAGTTACTCTAGAGGCCTACGCTGGAAGTATGTGGGATATGGCCACGGATAAAGCTTATAGAGTATCAGTCTTATCCGTTAGAATATTCCCCTCCTAACATTTCCCCAGCCCCCAAATCAGGCCAAACCAGGCCCTAAATGATGACTTTTCAGTCTGGCTTCAGCTTTGCCTTGATTAGCGCGGGGTGCCATAATACTGGATCCTGTGAACTTTTAAGCAAGCTGCTGGATGGAGGTGCCTTTTGAAAATGGGATAGGGTGGGAGCCTGTATCCCCACATCTCCCCACTATAGTATATTGGGAAATACTGGAAAAAACAAATGGAAACTATTGTGCTCCATTGGGAATCATGGAAAAGAAAGTGGAGACTACTATTATAGGATACACCCTTGAACCCTAAGCCCTGAAACCCTGAAGCCCGGAAACCCTCTTCCAATTGAACATGCTCTGCACTGCTGGGGGCTTTGGTTTAGGCTTAGGGTTTCGGGTTTAGGGGAGCTTTGTCAGGCTCTCCACCCACTAATGGTATTACGAATTTTCGGAGATTCTCGTATTGCTGCCACCTGCCACTACCCCTGAGGTCACTATTCCCACCCCTGCTAATGTTGTAATCACCTGCCCACCCCAAAATATTAAACATGCTCATCTGAATTTAATATACTGCAATAGCATATTTAACGTCAGGGTAAGGGGGTTGTTAATTTGGGAGGCACGGGGTTACTAGAGGGTCACAGGGCTGCCTCGGGTGTTCGGGTATTTCTTCAAAAGGAGTACACTTCAGGATGTTGGGGCAATTGAGGTGCAGG